TAGTTTGTTTATGTTTAAAGCTGCTTCTGGATCAGCTTCTAGAAAGACTACACCTGATTGTTTAAACATTTTAGATAGGAGGCACAATCAAAGGCACCATTTCTGGCCTCCATTCTTCCACCATTGGCAGCCATCTGGCCCCTACTAGGAATTCTGGGATTTGAACTTCTTGTCTTGAACCTATCTGTTTCTCTCTCTCTCTCCCTTTCGCTCCCTGTATAAGGCATTCCTTTGATTAAGCTTTCACTCACCTGTTCATACTATTTCCTAACGTGCCTAGTTGTCAAAATTTGCTGGACAATACTGTTGTCAGACACCTTGAAATGCTTCACCACATCAAAGATGCTTCACAAATGCAAGTTGCTACTGTGATGTAGACTAACTTGCTTTCATTCTAACAAATTTTGGAAGAACTTCTTTTGTATTTTAATGGAGGTGGTTCTATGCTCCCAGCCACGCTCGCACGGAGAATAGACATTACACCTGTCCAGTTTGTTTCAGATTGCAATATGCACCTTGTGAACAACAACGAGGAAGCAGATCACCACTGCAGGTCACCTTGACAAGCAGATGCTGGTATTAGTTTGTTTGAATCGCAGACTGATTCAACGTAGGATGGTCTATAGTTTAATCTGAATCACTTTTTAAGTTCCAATTTCATAGCCCCCTATGATTCCAAATGCATTGCAATTCATAGTATTTGGAATAAAAGATTAAATTAAAAAAGGTCATGAATTTATGCTGCAAAATAAGAATAATCCAACTGAGCAATGACCTGAAAGCTGCTGGGGAATTCTAGAATACTCTGAATAATGCATTTACTTCATTATCATAGAAATATCTGTATTTCTTGCTGTCTAAAGCCATGAATTTTGCAGTTGCCTTGTGTATTGGGGCTTTAGAGAATGCAGTATTCACCTGTTCACCAGGAACTGTAAGCACATTACATCATGTCTTCAGCTATGCACCTGTTGGTTCAGGTTGGTCACATTATGCTTATGTTATGGGACGTACCTGAACCAAGGCTAGACTCCAATTACGCTATGATTCATCAAAGGATGAGCTCATGCTTAACCCTCTCGTGCTTAGAGGTAGACTAGCTCCAGCTCACAGAACCACAGTTCCACATACGTGATCAGATGCAGCCCACACCTACCCCCAAAAGAAACATTGACTGCCTTCAATGATTCAGAAGAGGTTTACCAGGATGTTGCTGGGAATGGAGGGTTTGACTAATAAGGGGAGGCTGGAAAGGCTGGGACTTTTTTTTACTGGAGTGTAGGAGGTTGAGGGGTAACCTGAAACAGGCTTATAAAATCATGAGGAGTATAGTAAAGTGAATAGCAAGACTTTTTTCCTTACAATGACAGAGTTCAGAACCAGGGGACATATTTTTAAGGTGAGAGGAGAAGGATTTAAAAAAAGCCATGAGGAGCAATTTTTTCCAGCAGCGAATTGTCCATGTGTGGAATGAACTTCCAGAGGAAGCGGTAGATGCAGGTACAGTTACAACATTTGTAAAGACATTTAGATAAGTATATGAATAAGAAATGTTTGAAGGGATATGTGCCAGGAGGAGGCAGGTGGGACTAGCTCAGTTTGGGATTATGTTCGGCATGGATTGGTTGGACCGAAGGGTCTGTTTCCATGCTGAACGACTCTGAGTGGATACAGCTAACAATGAAAACAGCCTTAAAGGTTGCTCACAGTTTTGGTAGGATTTTATTTCACTGCTGCTGGGCTACATTAAGCAGTTGACAATTCAGTCAGCAATATGTAGCATACATAAAGTTACAAACAATCTTAAAGCATAATGTACCCTGCGTACCTGAATCCTAAACCACTTTCCAAATTTCATTACCAAATATTTGTAACAATGAGGCTTTTAAAACTCAAGTTAAAGATTAAAAACAAACAAATGGAGAGTACTAATGACCATTGATTCTTGTAAATACTCTCCTGCTTTTAAGATATCAGTTTTAAAGAATTGTACACTGTAGGAAAGGTCCAATAACATATAAAGAATGAACAATACTAGGCCACTCGGCCCTTCCAGACTATTCCCCCATTCAATACGATCATGGCTGATCTGATTTTAACCTCAACACTACATTCCTGTACATCACGAATAATCTTTCATTTCCTAGGTCATCAAAAGTTCTGCATCCACTGCCTTTTGAGGAAGGGAATGCGAAAGACTCACAACCCTCAGAGAAAAATATTTCCTCATCTCTGTCTTAAATGGGCGTCTCCTTATTTTTAAACTCTGACTCATGGTTCTAGACTCTCCCCTAAGAGGAAACATCCTTTTCACATCTGCCCTGTCAAGTCCCCTCAGGATCTGAAATGTTTCAATTAAGTCACCTCTGACTCTTCCAAACTCCAGAGCATACAGGCCCAGCCTGTCTAGCCTTTCCTTATAAGGCAATCCACCTATTTCAGGGATTAATCTGGTAAACCTTCTCTGAACTGCTTCCAACACATTGACATCTTTCTGTAAGTACGGTGGCCAATACCGTGACCAGTACTGTACACAGGACTCCAGTTTCAGTGTCACCAATGCCCTGCAGAACTGAAGCATATTCTTGTACTCAATTCTCCTCACAATGAACATTCTATGAGCTTTCCTGATTACTTGCTGTACCTGCAGACTAACCTTCTGTGATTCATGCATTAGGGCACCCAGATCCCTCTGCACCTCAGAGCTTTGCAACCTCTTAGCATCTAGATAATACGCTGCTTTCTTTTATTCTTTCTGCCAAAATGAACCATTTCTCACTTTCCCACATTATACATCATTTGCCAGATCTTCACCCACTCTCTTTCAGCTATATCTTTTTATTCTTAAACTATTCAAAATAACACTGGGCTGTGGCGATAGTTGAAGCTTTTCATTGTGTTTTACCATGCTGTTCATTGTAGAGTACAAGTGACAATAAATCATCATTCTCTAATGTGTGAACCTAATCTTAACCCTCAATACACCCAACAATTGCTATGGATTCTATGTTAAAAGATCTTTTCAATAATGAGAATTCAAAACTACTTTTTAACTAAATAAAGAACTTGTTTTGCATCACTACAACTTGAAAACATCATTATAAAGGAGATACTTTCTGAAGCACAATTAAGACTCCAAAAACACTCAAAATTAATGATCAGTTATTCTTTTTTTGTAGAATCTTAGGCAATTATGAGAATTTCTTGTTCTTCATCATTTTTAAACAGATGGACTGATGGTTCTCATTGATGTGACAAATAACAATTTACTTTTAAATAGTGCCTCTAAGCATCATAAATCATCCCAAGATGCATGATTGGCACATCATAAGCCACAATCCACCAGACAGTGAACTAGGACAGGGGAACTTTAAGGAACGTCATAAATGTCGAGAGAAAGTTGGTGTTGTTGAAGTGTTTTGTTGGGCGGTAATGCCTGGACATAGGGCCCAGGCAGCTGAAGGGACAGCCACCAACTGTGCAACGATTAAAGTTGGGGGTGCTGAAGTGGCCAGAACTGCAGCAGCACAAATATCAACAAGGGCTTTGGGCTAGACAAGGTTCCAGAAATAGGGAAGGCCAAGACAATGGCTGATTTTGCACATGAGGCAATGAGTTTTTGGAATTGAGACATTGCTGGACCTGAGATAGGTCAGTGAGCACCACGGGTGATGGCGGAGCAAGATGGGATGCCAGTTAAAATATTACATTGCTTGAATATTACTAAAAAGTTGCTTCTCAAGCTTTTTGTTGTACACTCATCAGAATGCCAAATTTTGATGATGTAATCAACAGGAAAAAAGGGTGCTGACTGGTTGGCACATTCACCCTGACTGACTGTTGCGCTGCCATGTGGAAAACAACAGGCAATTATAAGATCTTGTGTAATTAAAAAAATGCCAGGCTTGAACATATTTGTTTTGTTTACAGAGGTCTCTGTGTATGAATGCATCACTTCCAGCCTGTGTCGTTGAGCCTCAGCATGAGTTGAACTGATTATTTTATATTGGTTGTTAGTGTAGCTATTAGCACACACTGAGTTATTCAGCAAGTGCTCCCTAATCTTGGAATCATATCTATCAGTAGATGTTTTGGGTATTTTATTATACATATTGCAAACAGCCAAAGGACTATGCTGTTTCATTTAGTTAGCCAGTGTTGGGACATATGACCCATGGTCTCGCAATGACACTGAAATTCATACATGACTGTGCTCAACATTGGGTGACCTTAAAGAAGTTTATAAAATCATGAGGGGCATAGATTGGGTGAATAGACAAGGTCTTTTCCCCAGGGTAGGGGAGTCCAAAACTAGACAGCATAGGTTTAAGGTGAGAGGGGAAAGATTTAAAAGGGACCTAAGGGGAAACTCTTTCACACCGAGGGTGGTGCATGTATGGAATGAGCTGCCAGAGGAAGTGGTGGGGGCTGGTACAATTACAACATTTAAAAGGGAACTGGATGGGTACATGGATGTGATGGGTTTAAGAGGGATATGGCCAAATGCTGGCAAATGGGGCTAGATTAATTTAGGATATCTGGTCAGCATGGATGCGTTGGACCGAAGGGTCTGTTTCTCTGCTGTACATCCCCATGACTCTATCTCACCCAAAAGACAAGGTGGGGTTGGTTTTAACATCTCCCCTTGGGCCACAAGGTACAATCCATTCACTCGCCATTCAGCTCCTCCACATCAAAGTGCCCACGTTCAGGTGAGCTGGGTAACAGGTGGGTCACCAGCTCCAGATATAGAGTCGGAGAGTCTTAGGGCACAGGGGAGGCCCATCGGCCCATCCCCATGCACCTGGGATAGTATTCCCCACCCCCACAGTCATCAGCTCACAGTCTCCATTTGGTAACAGTTGACCTTGACAGGGAATGAATGACACTCGTCATCTTGAGGCGGTAATATTTTAAACGCGTTTGGGTTGAGTTTACCCCTTAACTTTCCCTTCTCTATCCCCTCCCTCATTCACCCCCCAGCCCCCAATCCCTCTCACCTTTCAGTTTGTGACTGTACTCTGTGCGATCAGACTGAGTCCTCCTCAAAGTGCCGCATCTCTCTTCGTCGTTAGCAGCCGCAGTCCCGGTAATGATAGTATCGGTGCGGCGCCGCTCCTGGATGTACAGCTTGGGTTTGAAAAAGCCCAGGTTTCTGCGCTTACCAGGGGAGGCAATGCTGGGCTCCATTGCCCGTGCAGCTGGAGAGCTGGACTCCGGGACACTGCCTCTTCTCTGTGTGTGTGTGTGTGTGTGTGTGTGTGTTACCTGCCCCAGTCTCTGGGACGGGTTGGCTCCTCCCAGTGCAAACTCCCAGCAGTGGGATCTCCTGCTGCTCCCAACGTGGGGCTGTGGCATTTCACTTTCCCAAGTGTCACACATTTCAACTGAATCCATTCTCAGAGAGAGAAGTGGGGGGGGGGGGAACAAAAGTTTCCAACCAGAAATAACGAAGGCTCTTGTCCTGTAAAGATAGAAACTGTTTCCCCTGGAAGGAAGGTTGGCGACTGTAGGGACATAGAGGAACGGGAGTCGGCCGTTGAGCCCATCGAGCCCGTTCTGCCAGCCAAACTAGGGCGAGATAGGGGGAACAGGGAGTTACTGCGATGTGGTAGGTATTCAACTTTAAAACGCCACCTTTCAAAAGGGAGTTGGATGTGTGCTAAACAAGGGAAAACACCATAAAATCCCGACGAGGGGATAGCAAGAACTGCAGATCCTGGAGCAAGAGAGAGCACAGTGTGGAGCTGGAGGAACACAGCAGGCCAGGCAGCATCAGAGA